TAGAATTTCACAACAAATCGCCCACGCACGCGGTATTTATTTTGCACTGTCCAGACAGGCTTGCGCATCACTCATCACCTCCCGTCTCAGTGAGAAAAAAAATGGGAGTTATGACGACTTGGTAACCCGATCCAGTCTTCGTCACTATCAATCAAAAGGCTGGGATCCGTACTTATGGCATCAGTAGTACGGTGCCATTCACAGCTTTTAAGTCGGTGATAAGTTTTATCTGTTAATTTTATCGACGTGGGATTGCAGTCAACGGGGAAGGTTAATCAGGGCATTGCGAAAGCATCCCCTCTGTGCCATTGATCCAACTAAAACACAGCAGTATGCCGAGGCAGCCAAGCTGTGTTGCCTTGAGTACAGAAACTTGACATTGAATAAGGCGGCTTTTGAAATTCTTCATGCGAGCGTAAGCTGGGCCCGGTCGTATCTGAATATTATCATGCATGGAACTGTAATGCCCGCGTTGTTTTAGTGAAATAAATGACGTTTGGTTATAGCTCACCATTCACATAGTAATTATTATTATTATTATTCACAGGGATAGAGGGACTGTGTATTATTGGACTATTTCTGTTTCAATATTTGTTTGTTTGTTGTGTTATCACTTGGCAGCTCACTGTTCTGACAAGATTATTCTCGCAACTACAAGTAAACGAAGTCGTCGCGACCAATAATAATAACAGTAAATGCATACCAATGCATACACGCGTAAGCCTCGATCACGATTTAATTAGTAGAGAAATGTACATGTTGGAAGGAAACGTGGTTGACCCCGAGGTCAAAACTAAACATCTCTTTTCGCGCCTTTATATATTTTATAGTGAATATTCGTTTCGGGGGATACTTGTATGTTTAGGGATTAATAGGCAAAATAGACACGACGACCATATGGCGATAAGATGTGTGCAGTAGAGATCGGGGAGTGTATGTGTTTATCGAGCTCAATCTATCATAATCCCGATTTCAGCAGGATGTCCCAATCGTTTCGTACACACCTTATAATGGACTTGTTAATCCGTTGTGTTTTATGTCCTTTCAGCTAATGCTGGCTGCCAAGCGATGGATTTGGATATCCGGTATGCGCTGTTAGTGGAAAGTCATGTACAAAAAAATAAAGGGGCGTGTATTTATTGCGTCGTAAATCACAGATGTTTTTTACGAGTGTTTGCTAATTGCACGATAATTAGCTTGTGTGTCTGTAAACTTCTGATTCTGTTTGTCTCGCACCTCGTTATCGGTGGTTCGCCAGTGTATGAATAAACTCCCGTCTGCTTACAAAGGTGTCAAGAGGACACTTCCGCGGGCAACTATGTGTGTTCCTACCACCACTCTACTGGCTATCGGAATCCAATTTACCTCTGAACCAAATACGTTCATACACTTTTTTCAGAAGTTTGTAATATAATTATGGACGAGCAGAAAGTCTAGTTCCCGTTACCTAGGAGATGACTTAATTGTTCTCCTTTCTATTTGCCTGCCACTCCCCCGGGCAACTTGTGGGGCGAGTTCAAAGTTGAAAGTCACACATCCTACCCAATGTGTGATTCAACCATAGAAGATAATACCTGCTATTGTTAGGAAATACAGCTCTCAGAAAAATCATTTTATAAGAATTGAAGTTGTGCAAAATAGTTCCATTCTCTGCCAATCTGTGCATGTCATGTTCATAATTGCGTACGCTTTCTGAAATCTTTTGAAACATTATTTGTTTGAAACAATCACACCAAATTCAATTCTTTCAAATAAGGGTGGCATATGACATATTCCTTTTACGTAACATATAGGTTAAGTTAGTCACCTTTGATTGGCCAGGATCTGTTGTATGTATAGTAGATTGTTTTGTATTAGTTTTCTTGTCCTGGATTTACATTTTCCTTGTCATGTACTATATAACCAATTTAATTCCTTCCGAGGAATTTTACGTGTTTTAATAAACTTTACTGGTAAAGAATGACCGTTTTTTGGATCACAGGTTTTACTTGCCCAATTACTAGCGTCGGACAAGACTGCGTGCTACGTATTATGAAAGTAAATACAATTGATTCCCCTCCGCACGTGTCTTGAATTTTTGACAACATTTTCACAGTATTTCACGGTGTCCTGACCCCGATGTCGTATATTAATAATATTATAACTAATAAATAATACAAATATTAGTTTCCACAAATTGGGCGCCTTGACGCGTTTTTATAATCGCTCTATAACCCAGCAATGTAAAATGTCATGTAAAATAAAGAGTTTTCAGTCGGTACCAGCTGGTCTTCGCATATTTCGTGCATTTCCCTTTCTTATGCGACCCCTAGAGTAAAGCCGCGTGGTATTCCCCATATCAAAACATAACGCACAGGCATGGGTCTTTACCGGGAGCTTGCTCCTTATTGCACAAAGCCGTTTCCCGGCGCGCGGCTGGACTCATCACACTAAATAATGATATAGGATACATAAATAAATATGTCCCGTTATTAAGATGTTTTATGAAGAAATACACTACCAGCGTTCACGTTGTAGTCATATGAGCTCGTTTTACAAACTACACTGGGTCTGTAATAACAAGTACTATGTTTCATTGACGGATGAATGGTCAGAGGACGTTGCCACAACCGTTTTTCAATACAGGCCTTATACTCGGCAATACAAGCCTTTACACACAGCCTCACCAGTTAAATTATTGTGATATACACAACAACACCTGACACGAAGTCCCCGAAATAATGGTATATCTAATAGTGTTACGACACCTAAACATACGCGTGGTTTGACTTTCTGTAATACTTTTATGCTAAATTATTCGTCATGCATATGTCGTTGACGTTGAACTTCAAAGAAATGGACAAAATAAGGCCTGGCCCGGTAAATAATGTTCCAATCGAAGTGTAGTAAAATGACTAAACAAAAACAATTAACCCGAAATCTTCTTTGATGGCGTAAACTGGCCCTGTTGTCGCTTTCTTTCAAGGAAAGCTTTAATTGGTTACGAGGCTGAAATTACAACAACTTTTCGAGCGCTATTCGGCCTGATGGATTTCTGAGTCTTTGTAAGTATTGTTTCATGCCGCGTTTAGTGAAATGAGAGCTTGGGTCAGAACGGAGTCACCTGGGGCTACATCATAGCCGAAACTAGTGGGGATGTTGGACATTCGGTAATATTAGACACAGCTTCTGTTGCTCATTATAAAAAAGGGCAGCTATATGTGGGAGGAAGAGGACGAATGATCTGCCAAAATTATAGGGATTACGGGTTGCAATTGATGTATCGATGCATTAGGGAGTGGGTTTCATTTCGTGGTGTGCGCATAACTGTTTCTACCTGTAGATCACGCTCCCAAGGGATTATTGATGTAAAGAAAAGGGTCTCCATACATACTTACATTCTTGTGTTGTTCGATCGCCGGGGACTGACAGAAGTTAATTAACACAAAAGCGTACATCAAAAGGCGTACTAAAGCAACACACAGAGATCGAATAAATCGTCTATGCGTTATGCTTAAAACTAAAACGCGCCCCGGGCGGGCTATGTCGCGATGCGAATAATTTCCTTGCTTTCGTGATTTTTTTTTTTTTTGATTCTTTCTCTTGCTTCATTTTCCGAACTGTGATATATGTAGTAGAAAGTTGTGTACATATACATACATCTGTAACTCGAAATAGACGTGTGAAACTGGAGCGCTCGTCTTTATTCGCTTGGGTGCAGGTGCAGGAAATCCAACACCAGGCAAGTCACAGTAGTTGGGGCCGGTACGTCACTCACTCCCACTGATGCTGGGCCTATCACATTTAGCATCCTAACACGACCAGTCGCGCACAAACAAACATGCATTATTAGTAGGCCTCTGATTCCCTGATTTCTCGCAGGTTAAAACAAGACCACGCTGAAAAATCAGAGATGGCCGTTACACATGTCTTGTTTTAAACCGCTCTTAGATTTAACGACTGGTACACCTTTGGGTAACGGAGTGGCACGTTTCTTTCGAAGTTTATAACATTTGAAGCGGGGTACGCGACTTGTTTGTCTGTTGATTCAACACCGGCTTAGACGGAATAAGCTACGGTTGCCAGTGTGTTACAATGAAAAGATCTCAATAGCTATATGTATGCATGTACACTATGGCTGCCAAGAGGGGTCGCGTGTTTGTTAAGCCGAACAAACCTCCGGTCATCCAAAGTATTATTCGCACAACTCGGAATAAATTTTAAATCGATTCACGTTTAATTCTATTTCCTTTTCTATGTTAGGGGGCGGCTACGCTAACGTGTTGAGATCAGCTCGGTGATGAATCTGTGTAGTGTTTATCATTGATATTTAATGCGAACCAGCTGGTTGCCGTATACCAAACAACACGCTAGCTGCTCAAGTTTTTTGTTCCCCCCCCCCCTCCTCAAAAAAAATCACGCTTTAATGGTTTCACTTTTCACATTTGCTCGTTTACGTACGACATTGAAGTAAAGCATTGACGCGATACTCCGCACTACATGTTGCGAAATGGGCAATAGCCAATTAAAGCGATAGTATTCAGTGAGAGAATTAAAAGCCATCCGATGAAAACAGTGTTTGTACTTTATGTACGAGTGGATATTCAAACGCCGTATGTTTATTCTGGGTATGTGAAGTGGACGATTACACAAAAGTCTCTTATAGAAATACACTCCATTCATTTATGTACAACAACAATCGAACAGTCGAGTGTCCACGCTGCTGATCGTAGAGGGGGGAATAAAGCGGAAAGTTGTCTGCAATAGCAAGAAAGTTTTCTCTCTCAATTATATATTGTTAACTGCCGGTGTTGAAATGAACGAAATCACCAATTAATTTATTTGCTCGTCAAGGCGCTCATGACATGCACGTCTTTATTACTGGCGAACTCGGTGTGTGGCACTCCAGTATGGGTGGTCAGCTGACACCAGCGGTGATTGGCTGCGCCTGTCACTGGGCGGAGTCAGGGCGCCGTATAAGGCGAGGCCTCGTAACAACAATCGGGATAGTTTATGTTGATGATTTGTCATGATCAGAAACAACGTCAGGAACTCTCTGCGCATATCTCTTTCGGTTACACATTGGTGGCATCAATAAGATCGTAGTCGATAGCTTATTTCGCTGTGTAAACCATGCAGCCACGATACCCTCCAACACACGGTACCAGTCCCGGCGGTTTAGGAGTTATGCACCCTATGTTCACCGACCAGAACTACTATAGACACGCCGGATACTCCAGCATGCCGATGTCTATGTACGGACACGACCAGTATGCTACTTCTATGGGCAGGCCGTATGCTGCTTATTCGGCGCCTCATCATACACCGAAGGACATGGTCAAACCGCCGTATTCGTACATCGCCCTGATCGCCATGGCTATACAAAATGCACCAGAGAAGAAGGTCACTTTAAACGGTATTTATCAGTTTATTATGGATCGTTTCCCGTTCTATCGCGAGAATAAACAAGGCTGGCAAAACTCTATTCGCCACAACCTTTCATTAAATGACTGTTTTATAAAAGTTCCCCGGGATGATAAAAAGCCCGGTAAAGGTAGCTACTGGTCGCTGGACCCCGAAAGCTATAATATGTTCGATAACGGGAGTTACCTGCGACGTCGTAAAAGATTCAAGAAAGTTGACGGATCGAAAGAAAAGGATGGAATATCACGACGAGTTTCATTAGATCAGCAACAACAACAGAACGGCCAACAACAAGATGGCGTATCGGCCAGTGAGCAAAGAACCAACAACAGTTCCACGCCTGTCTCCTCTGCTGCGGCGTCGCCACCTTCCTCAATAGCTTCGACAGATACCACAATAACTCTTATAACTCCAAAAATAGAGCCTTGTGAAAGAAATGGCAATATTTTAAGCGAGACATCGGCAACAAATAATCGACAGTTGACAGTAGATGACACACTGGACTCAACGCAATCTTCCGCCAACTTTAGCGTGGAAAATATCATGACTCCTCTTCGTGACTCACCTAGTTATAGCAATACGGAAATGAACATTAACTCTGGTACATCTGCAATCTCGTCTAGACCAACTCAATTGATTTCTCCGCAACCCCAGAGCTATCGTTCTAATTCGTCAACGATATGTACGCAATCTAACAGCATTAACGCTTCCGTCGCGGCACTCAATTATCACTGTAGCGCACATAATGCCATGTACGAAGACACGACCGGTAAGCACATGAGCATAGCACCAACACCCGACGAACTGCACGCCGAGCACGTCATCCAGCGGCACAGTCCGCCACACGCCCACAACATAGGCTCACATGCAACCCACAGAAGTCACCAGCAGAGCATACTGCATCGAGCAAATGCGTGGTATCACCAAACAGACCTAGGCTCAACGCCCATTCACACCACTCAAGCAGGCGGCAACTTCCCGACTGTCAGAGAAATGTTCGAATCACAAAGACTCGCCACGTCAAACGCGACCATTGCACAGTCGCCGACGAATCCCTCGTGCATGGGTTACGGAAGTCCGTCTATTCCGTACCCGGTGACATCGTATGCTGCGGCGTATACGGACTGCAACAAGTTCTAACATCTCGCGGCTATCACCGAACAAAAACATTGCTTGAGAGGGTAAAAAAAAAGAACTTCTGTTAATCGTCGTCCACAGCTCCCAAGTTGTAAACGGTAACGTCTATTTATCTTACCTGTCCGCGCATAAAGAAACATATACACTTGAACAGTTTAAGCCTGTTATTTGCTTAAAGACAATTTGTTAAACCTAATTTTTCTCATTAATTTCGTTCCGATAGATATTGCTAGGCACACACGTACCCATGTTTTTAAACTTACAGACTATGTATCAATTTCTGGTGACTATATATGTTTGCCTTTTTTGTTCCATGTGTTTTTCTTGGGCAATCCAGTTGATGACATTGCTTGGACAAATAGACACAGCTTGTAACTTCCAAGGTGTTCTTGCCCAAGACTAGCTTGTCTCTTAGCAGAGGTATGGGGTAAGACTCTTACATACTGATAATTGAAATCAGGTGCATGGTCTTTTTTTATGGATGAAAAAAACTGTTATTTCCATATTGGTTTATTTTGGACATGTTAAAAAAACATGCACAAAAAAATAAAACGACTAGAGAAGCCAGGTGAATTTTTAATATTTTACGTAATATTTCCTATTTTAGTATGGAAAAATAATTTCTCAGGTTTTTAAAGTGGGGCGATCAAACGTATAAATATGGGTTTCCGTGCTTCATCTTTCTCTTATCCCATTTTTTATATAGATTTCCAATTTATATGGGGTTCCACTTCTTTTGAGTTTAAAAGTGAAAGATACAGTGGTGTTACTTACTTCAAATTTGAAGGACTTCAAGGAGACTAGTTATAAACAGTCGCCAGTCCCTCCATGTTGTTTAAATGCAACCCAAACTCGTGTCAATGAAGCCAATTTCTTGTATAAAAGTGGCATTTTTTTTTTCATTCCGCGAAGATTGGGGCATTTAGTCTAATAGCCACGTTTATACGTGTTGTGTGAATTAATAGTTGTTTTAGTATTTTTATAGCGCAGGTAAAAATCAAATCAGGGTATAATTTATTGACAAAAATACGAAAGGAAATTTTTTTTATTGGTTTGTTAAAATAGCCCGGAGTGATCAAAAACAGTATTTTCCAGCCTCAAGAAAGAGGCTTTAATTTATTAGGTACCGTTCTAGTCCAGTACAAACATATAACGTTGGACTGGTTTATAGGAATCTATCTATATTGGCTTTAAGAAAATACACAGTATGGCCTTTCAGACTCATTATCTCGTCGTTGCAAAATCAACAGTAAGCGTTGAACCATTGCAAGAGGGCTCTCGTTGGCGATCTCGCCAGGTTTTATGTTATTTTGTTTCTGTAATTTATGGTTCCCACAGCAATTTTCGTGTTCGTCGACAAAATAAATCATCATTTTCTTTGTTTCGATTGAAACTTGAGTCACTGCTTGATTTTTCACCCCGACGTCTTTTATTTTACCCCAGCCCTTTTGCTATCGCAAGGTTCAATGAATGGGTTTTCTTGCAATCTCACGGCCCACATCCATGCATGGCGTAAACAGTGGCGATGTTTGAGTACACACTGAAAGTAATTGACAAACATTCGAGCCTAAACGGTTTGGTCTGCTTTTATATTCGCAATACTGACTCAGTCAGTCTGGGTTTTCGTTCATTTACATGACGGAATACCTATTCATAAACACCGCTAGAGTCGGTAAAACTCAATATTCTCATTGGAGTCGTGTATTACAATGCAGCCACTGTTTTGCCTCGCCATGGATCACCTTAGAACGCGGCGGTACGAGACACATTACCCAGTGGGCTGGTGCGTCGACTCCGAGTTGCAAGAGCTTATTAACAAATCGGATAAATGAATAATGTGGTAACGAAATTTGATGTATTAATTAGGTAGATTGGAGCGTGCTTTGGCGGAGCATTGATGGCTTAATTTGACCGATATTTGCCATACATTTATTTCACAAAATTTGCAGGGCGGGACGGTATACCATACGCAGTTAAAAACATACATGTGTAACGTCTACCCAAGTGGCCAGAATGTATTTCTCTATCATCAACCCCTTAAAACACCTCCTATTCAGTTGGTAACTAGTCGTCCGTCTGTGGATACCAGCCAGCCAACAAATTAAATACACTCCATGTTGATTAATTGATGAAAAGATCGACTTCGCCTAAGGGAGTTTTCACTCAGGAAAATTACACCGCACATACGACAATCTATACCCGGTGTTGAAAATTCCCGACTGTCATAAAACTGATGGGCAAAGTACGTGAATTTCGTGCTCCGACATCGGCAGATTTGCCACACATGCAAACTGTATGCGATTTAATGGCCCCAGTGACTTCCTTGTTGGTTGTTAAGCAATACTCAAAGCTGTTACTAACATAGTCGTCGAGATAGTGAAGAGGGATGTACACACAAAGTTAAAAACCATCTGCTGAACGTCATTCTTTGTCAAATTGACCAAACATCTGCAAAGTCAACATAGTATTTACACTTCAGGCCCAGTCGGCTAATATGTTTCTTTCTTTTGGTTACAAATGTAGATTTCCCGTCCGATGAAATTTTACACTACACTTTAAAAAATAGCAAACTGCCACAAATTCGTGAAGTTTTATTGATCTTGCTAATATAATAATCATTGTCATATACATTAAAGCATTTTTTACGCAATTTTCGCTGACGCAAACGCCAATCATGCGTGGGGCACGTGACAAATCATCATATATGCAGTCATGTTATATATGCATGTGCAGCTCAGCTACTCGATATATTTAGTTTAAAGCAATAAAAAGTTAAATACATTTTCCTGCACAGTTATGTTACAGCACCCATTTCTCCCACCCTTTAATCAAGTATCGCTGAAGCAGTGAAATTTTGACACAACTCTAAGAATAAATATTCATCACTGAATTCTAATTAAACAAAAATAACATAGATATTGTAGGTACTCATTCTCTTTTGCTCATAGCCAGGGTCCAACTCTTCAATATTAATCCACCAATTGGTCAGTGAATCTTGTGTAGTTTTGCCGGTCTTTAAAACGCAGTGCTGTGGGGGGGGGGGGGTTGTGTGTGTGAATTTCATCATCAACACATGACCAGTTTCCTTTTTTTGAAAGTTACCTCAAAATGATACAGATCCATGTAAAATTAGAACGGTGACTATATCCGGGTCGTCACTAACGATATCCCATGAAATCTACTTGAGTTAGTGTCGGCAACGAAGTTAAATCGTTGTAAAATTACAGGGAGATTTCAATTAAAGAAATGCATTGAAAGGAAATGTACAAATCCGCGCGTTAATGTTGTGTGGAAATTACGCGTGTTATTAAATTTTCCATTCCATCTTGAATTTAAACACAACCAAAACTACCACTGAACGCACCTGTTTTCGATTGTTTCTAACTCGTACGTCGGAAAACACTTCAATTTTCAGGTATGAAATGGGAAACAAAATTAGCACCTCCGCTCCAGTATGAGATTATATTTTTTGGATTACACAATCTTCAACTTCAAAATTTCAATTCGATCCGCACCTTATACAACAATATTTCAGACAAGTAAATCCAATATTTGGAGATCGGAAGAAACAGTAAAATTGTACGTATTTTCACGTTCGTATTTGTCGTGTTTTTCAACTCCAATCCTCGAAGCAACATGAGTCTCACCCCGAGTAACAAGAATCGTCATACATGATTCTGAATCAACGTTTGACATGTCCATACCATATCCAGTATTGATAGAATGAACAATTCAAGTCGAGCAACTTTATTTCTGTGAGTGCAAATTCATAATTACGATTTTGGGCGTTGTTTGAGATATATATTTTAGGAGATCATGGTCAAATTTCCAGTAGTTAACACTCAATTTTCCCTCTCAGAAAATAACAAATATAATATGATCACGTAAATTGTTCGCGGAATATGTCATTTCATTTTAAACATGTTTACATTGATTTCTCTAGGGCCACAGTGCAT